GAAGAGAAAAATAGAAAAATTATGAGACCAGTTATTACAACTGTAAGACACGTGAAATATTAAAAAATGCAAATTGAGAAAAATAGGATATAGAACAAAGGAAGAAGTTGATTGAGTTTAGGTTAACTAGGTTAACTAGGTTCTTTGACTAGAACTTAAGTTTAGTTGTCTCCTTGCCCAAAGATTAAAGTAATTCCTTAAATTATTAGAATTGTGCCTTTGGCCGGGTGCAGTGGCTCATGCCTGTAATCCCAGCACTTTGAGAGGCCGAGGCGGGTGGATCACGAGGTCAGGAGTTTGAGACCAGCCTGGTCAGCATGCTGAAACCCCATCTCTACTAAAAATACAAAAAATTATACGGGCATGGTGGCGCGCACCTGTAGTCCCAGCTACTCAGGAGGCTGAGGCAGGAGAATTGCTTGAACCTGGGAGGTGGAGGTTGCAGTGAGCTGAGATTGTGCCACTGCACTCCAGCCTGGGTGACAGAGTGAGACTCTGTCTCAAAAAGAAAAAAAAGAGTTTTGCCTTTGCCTGTGGCATACATGTGAGTTTTAAACTTTGAGTATTTGGCTAAAATGCTTATTGGAAAAAATGAGGATGCATGTGTACATAGTTTGTGTATTTATTAACATACATATTTCTAGCCTGTCTTTATGTATTGTATAAGTAAGTAGTAGCTTTTATAGGTGTTGTTTTAAAGAAAGGAACCCTGAGGTGACTTTAATTTTCCAAGTGTATTAGAAGCTTTAAGACTTAAAGATGTATTTAGTTTATTTAAGGAATATGTTAGCTATCTCTTATTTTTCTTTAGCTCTTGTATTTAAGATCTAAAGACTCCCTTTTGAGATTTTTGTGGAAAATGAAAAAATAAGAAAACCATAATTTGGCAGAAAATTGTTAAAACCCCCTGATTTATTGATGAGTATTGTTGTGCTTTCTCTTCTAATCAGAACTGAGTTTTCTTCTACTTTTCATGAAATTAAGATATTGATTTTTAAAATAGTTCTTTAATATCCCTTTTAAGTTTTAGTTCATCTTTATTTTCTTTTATATATTCTTTTAAATTTGGGCTATTTCCTTTATGGTTTGGCCTAGTTTCCCATTTTTATGTCATTCAAGGACATTATATGGTAATTTTTTGAGTGTTTTTTCTATTCTTTTTATTTTTCTAGTGAGATAAGATAATTTTCCCTCAGGAATATTGAGTTATTTTGATTTAAAATTCTTTGTTTGCTGGTCCTATTTACTTTAAGTCTTTTTTTTTTTTTTTTTGAGACGGAGTGTTGCTCAGTCACCCGGGCTGGAGTGCAGTGGCGCGATCTTGGCTCACTGCAAGCTCCGCCTCCTGGGTTCACACCTTTCTGTCTCAGCCTCCTGAGTAGCTGGGACTGCCGGCGCCCGCCGCCATGCCTGGCTAATATTTTTTGTATTTTTAGTACAGATGGGATTTCACTATGTTAGCCAGGATGGTCTCGATCTCCTGACCTCGTGATCCGCCCGCCTTGGCCTCCCAAAGTGC